TGCCTGCTATGTGCTCACTGCTTATTGCTTTCCTATGGACCCCTGGTGGCGCAATGAGTTAAACCCTTGTGCCAGCAGGACTACTGACTGATTGAGTGGTTCAAATCCAGGGAGAGCGGGTTGAGCTCCCTCTGTCAGCTCCAGTTCCCCAAGCTTCCCACAAGGATGGTAAAAAATCAAAACATCCAGGCATCCCCTGGGTAACGTCCTTGCAGACGGTCAATTCTCACACACCAGAAGTGACTTGCAGTTTCTCAAGTCACTCCTGACATGGAAAAAAGATGCTGTCCTATATTTCTAAATAAAATAAGGTGTGTTTGTTGTCTATATTGAAAATCTTCTCTGATTAAAAGGTAACCCTGATTTAAGCCAAAATATGACTGAGTACAATAGGATTAAAAGCTAGATTTTTAAGTTAACTATCCAATGAGTAAACAGGTGACTAAATCTGTCAATTTTGGCTTCTCTCACATCCAGATTGTTTAATCCTTGAATTCTTTGCATCCCAGACGTGAGGAAAGGTGTGAATTTGGGTAAATCCTTATCATCCTTCCTAATTGGAAGTAGAGTGGGCAGGAATCAGTACTATGTGATTTATTCACGAATGACTTGGATTCATAAACGGACAGTGAAATAGCAATGTTTTAAGGTCATCTCGGGTTTTCCAGAGTGTGAAATCTAAGCTGTCTGTAAAGGACCCTTCACTTTTTTTGAAAAGCTGTTCCAAGATGGGTGAATGGGCATCCAAATGGCAAATGATATTCACTGCTATGCCCAGTAGATGTAGATTTCATTATGAACACTCAGATACAGAAACACACTGTTGAAATTTGAAAGGGTTACAACAAAAACAGGAATTGCTCTTGGAGCTCTGAAGGAGAGTTCAGTGAAATTCAGTGTGTGAGAGTGTGTGAATTTAAATAACAGTTTTCAAAAGGAATTGCCAAATGTCATTCGACAGACAAACAAGAAGGTAGTTACAAAATAAAATGACCAATATCATACTGCTTTTAAATCAACTCATGTTTGGAATAATGTGAGCAGCTCTAGGTTCTTCTAGATATTGCAGATTTGGGGGGGGGGGGGGGAATCAGAAAAAAGCAGGTAAACAGATCAAAGGGTGGAAAGCATCTTTCCTATCAAGAAAAGCAAAGATGGTTAGTATTAGTATTTTGTGTTGTCGAAGGCTTTCATGGCTGGAATCACTGCATTGCTGTGAGTTTTGTGGGCTGTATGGCCATGTTCCAGCTCAGAAAACTCACAGCTATTAGTATTTATAAGGCACCATCAAATGTAAATTATATAGGATTATGAGTATAGAGAAATGAGGAAGTGTTTGATCTGTTTGATCAAGTTTTTCCATATTACATCTGCTTATTTCCTTCTATCTGTTTTAAAGTAAATTTTAATTGGATTTAATTCTGTTTTATTCAATATTGGTTTCATCTTGGTTTTGTAGGTTTTTAATTATGAACTCTAATTACCATATACCTCCCATTATAAATATGGCATAATAAACTGGTGCTCACATAAAAATGGCAAAAAGTTGCTTCTCTCTCTCTCTCTCTCTCTCTTACATTTTAAGGCTGTGTATGGTTAAATCTGTGATTGCAGAAACCATGGATGCAAAGGTTGCTCTGAGTCCCCTTTGGGGTGAGATAGAGCACAGTAAAAATATAGGAAATAAATAAATAAAGTCTAAAATAATTATTGTATTCCATCTTTTGCAAGCTCCCTTGAGCTCTAGTTTGGAGGAAAAAAATGGGATATCAATAAAGCAATGGATGATTGGATGGATGGAAGGAAGGAAGAAGTGAACACAAGAAATACCATTGTTGAAAGCTTTCATGGCCAGAATCATTGGGTTGCTGTAGTTTTCTGGGATGTATGGCCATGTTCCAGAAGCAAACCCTCCTGACATTTTGCCAGCCATAGATGTGGACGAAACATCATGAGATAATGCTTCTGGAGCATGGCCATACCATCCGGAAAACTCACAGCTACCCTCAAGAAATACTCTTGCAAAAAGACATAGGTGTAGGGGACCTGTCTCCTTTTCTTACAGTGTGAGTGCTCCAAGTTCCATAATAAAAAAGATTGGAAAGACAGGAAAGGTACATCTTCATACAATGCACATTTTATTTATGGTATTATGCATACTACAAAATTTGGCAATGGTCTTATTTGGCTTTGCAGTTTTGAGGACAGTTCTAATAATATCTTTCCACTATATTGAACTTTCATGTTTAAAGACAAGCTTTCAATTTCAGGTGGTTGGGACACAGGGAAACATTGTTGTTTTTGCAAAGGGAAGCAGGAAGCAGGATTTTGAGTTTTGTAAAAATTAAAACCCAGATAGAAGTGTCAGCTTGGTGGAGATAGAAAGGAAGAATCCAGTTCTCACTCACCTTGCTTATTCCATACTCAATTTCATTCCCTAACATTGAAGGAGAACTTCAAAAACCTGTTTAAATTAAGGACCAACAAGGGAGGGAATCATGTGATGAGAATGCGAGTGAGAGAGCATTGATGATCAAGTCTTTCCAATATAGCCACATATCTGGTTATATCCTCCTGTCTGCATTCATTCAGCGGTCTGACAACTAGTCACCTAGCCAAATTTTAAGCCATTATTGATACTTGGATCACATAATGTCAGTCACATCAACAGACTTCTCCAATCTTGTGTCCTTTAGATGTTTTGCACTTCATCTTCCAGAATCTCTCACCATTAATTATTTTCATTGAGACCAACTGGAGCTATAGTCCAAAACTGCTAAGTTGAAGAGGGCTAACCTAGATAAATCACTGTGAGTCAAATTACACACAATGATAACCCCTTTATCCCTCAAGTAGGGATCACAGATATTTGTGCAAGTGCATTGTGCATTCCTACAGTATCTGACAGGACAGATACAGGTACACATCCGAGTAATGTCTCTTTTTGGTGGCTTGTTAAAGATGTAAAAGACCAGAAGGAGGTGCATGTGCACCCCCTCCTATACATGGCATTGTGAGACTGGGATGGGTGCAGCTTTGCACATACTCTTTGCCAATGAGTGTGTTTTGAGTGCTTTTGAATGTGGGCCCTTGTGCAACCCAGCCATCCCTGCTCATGTGAATAAGGAATGCTCAAAATATGCCCTCTCTTATACATGAGGTCATATGAAGACACTTCGATTCTAGTTGTCATGGATTTCTCCAACTAATTTGCTTAATCCTTGATTGGTTTGAAAGCCATCTAAATGAATCACAATTTAAATGCCTGCTTGTGTTTATTTATATTGGGGATAATTCAGATGAGAAACGACTATAGAGTATTCTTGGTTGCTTAGAAAAGAGACTACCAAGGAGCACCATGTCCTGTTGGCTATGTCTGGAGAAAAACCATGGCAAAACTCTGTTAAATAATTCCTGCAGAGGATTGGGTTTGCCTTCCTTGGAATGGACTTGAAAGCACCTAACAATAGTAGCAAAAAAAAACCTCAATCTTTCTGGAGGAGTTACAGGTAGGGAGAGGCAGCTGGTGGGCCCCTTCCAAAACCCAGTGGTGAATCTATTCTGGCCGAATCTCTCCCTGAACTTCAAGACAGCTATCCGAGGTGCTGAACCATAGCTTTAGAAGAATTCAGCACTCTGGATAGCTCCCAGGCGAAATTCTGGAGCACATTCCCTCCCTCAAGATTGATGTCAACAGCCTCCTTTGGAAAGGCAGCGCTTCCTGCTAAAGTTAGAGAGAAAGAGAAGCAGAATCAGCGCCATGCCTCCTTTCCTTAGGAGAACCTTTCGCTCGGTTTTCTTAGCAAGACTCCTTCCGAAGGGGATTGCCATTGCCTTCCTCATGTGGTGCAATTGCAAAGGCCTTCACCTTCATCCAAATGCAGTGGACAAAGGGACATTTGGATGAAGGCGAAGGGCTTTGCAATTGCACCACACGAGGAAGGCAATGGCAACGCCCCCCCCCCCGGGGGCAGCTCTAAAACGGGAGAAAAGAAGGCGAGAAGGGGACCCCAAGGCGCAGAAATGACAAAGAGAGCATTATGATACGGAATTAAGGCATTGTTGATATGGTAAATGCGAGATATGATGATCAAAGGAAAGGATCGGGGAGGTTTATCTGCTACAAGTTGTTCAAGCAATGGCTTCGATCTGTCCAATTCGAGCAGCCTGGCAAGGCTTCCCTCCTAAACGAGAGGCACACGCACCCTCTTAATCCAGCTCAATGCCTCAACAAGGTCTCCCCAAGAGGGGCAAATTGATGCTTCGGTTTGGGACTCCACGGCTTCTTTTACCGGATTTTCTTTGGCTCCTCCCGACAGATCAGCCCTCCACTTCTGTTAACGTTCTTAACCCTCTGAAACTTGGTGGCACTCAAGGGTGATTTCGGGAGGCGCGGGGATAGAATCACAGCATCATGGAGTTGGAAAAGACTCGTGGGCCATCTAGTCCAACCCCCTGCCAAGAAGCAGGATGTCCAACTCCAAAATAGAACTTATGGGCAAACATTGCCTAGTGTCAACTCGTAACCCCCCCCCCCCCTAGCTTCGGCCGCCTGAAAAGCAAGAAGGGCTCGCTTGCTCCCATCCGAAAACTTTCCGCCAAACCAGCGTGGGGTGAGAGTGGGGGGATTCAGCTCGAGAGGGAACCTTTTATTATCTGGAGTAGGAAAATCCGAGCCACACTTCCCCGTGCCCCACGATCAAAGATGGCTTGGGACGCCGGGAAACCACTGTCTCCACAGAGGCTCATAAAAGGACCATTTCTTCCCCGAGGGCTCCGTGTGAGTCAATTCCCACTCGAGGTGAGTCAATTGTTCCCTGTGGAGCCCAGCAGACAGGTGGGAAAGGCGGAGGGCTCTCCAAGGAACGGGCAAACGTTACCCCTACGTTACCTCTGCCTTGGCCCGTGCCCCCCCCCCGGCTTTCCTTCAAACGCAGCCTGAGAAGCGAGGTCGAGGAGGGGAGGAGAAAGGCGAGAGAGGCGCGCCGAGTGGGACTTACCAAGCTTGGAGCACGGAGAGGAGGAAGACACCCAGCAACAGCCGAGCGGACATGATCCGGAGAGCCGAGGAGGGGAGGGGGAGCAGGGCAGAAAGTCCGGGCAGCCCAGGAGGAGGCGAGGAGGGAGGAAGAGGAGGAGGAGGTCGGGAGGGAGGGGGTGCCTGTATGCAAGGAAGGGGTGCACGGCTCTTCTGGGTCTGTGCGGCTTTCCGGAGCCCGCTTCTCGCCCGCCTCCCCGTCCTGGGCTCCTCGTGTCCAGCGCGCTCCTCGAAGGGGCCCCTCCTGGCTGCCTCCCCGCTAAGGCTGCCCGCTCTTCCTTCCAGGAAGCATCAGTGGCCCCAAGGAAGCAGCACCCGGCCACTCTTGGAGGTCCTGAGGGCCACCGGGTGGGCCATGAGTCTCCCAGGGTGGGCGGAGGGGCGGAGGCCACCCAGGAGCAGGAGGAGGAGGAGGAGGAAAAAGAAGAAGAAGAAGAAGTAGCACCGTCCAGCAGCCCCTAGCGAAGGGAGGCAAGTCTCCGGCGTTGGGTCTCCCAGGGAAGTGGAGGAGGAAGAAGGAGAGAAGGAGGAGGAAGAGGGAGGGGGCTCCGCAGGGTTCCTCAGCATCGGAGAGGCGCCTCCTGGAACTTCCTGGCCGGCCAACAGGTCCCTCCTGGGCTGCTGTCGAGGAGCTCGGGGTGGTGGCAGCCAAGCTCGCGAGGATGCCTCATGGCTCGGCTCCTAGAGGGTCAAGGCACGCCAAGAGGAGGAGGAGGAGGAGGAGAGGAGGAGGAGGAGGAGGAGGAGGAGGAGGAGGCGAAAGGGCACCCAAGAGGAGGAGGAAGAGGCGAGGAACCTCCAGGCAATAGGGAAGGACGAGAGGTCCCTTGGCCGGCTTCACAGCAGCAGCAAGAGCAGCAGCCCCTCCCGGCGTGCCTCCCGCGATCGTGGCAAGCGCGGGGGAGGTCCCCGTCGCCGGAGGAGGCAGGCAGGGCAAAGCAAGGCAAGGCAAGGCTCCTCCGACCCGGGTGGGGAGGGAAGGAGGAAAGACGGAGGAGGAGGAGGAGGAGGAGGAAGAGGCTGCCGCCCTCAGTAGATCGGGGGACTTGAGAGAGGCGTGGGAGGGAAAAAGAGGAGGAGATCCCGCATCCCAGTCTCTCTCTCTGTGTGTGTGTGTGTGTGTGTGTGATTAGAACCTTTTATTATCTGGAGTAGGTAAACCCGATCCCCGCTTCCCCGTGCCCCACGATCAAAGATGGCTTGGGACGCCGGGATTGGCTTTATTCCCTGTCAGAGTGGTGAGTGTCGGGCTCTGTTTAACGTCAAGCGCTTTTCCTTGAGGCTCTGTTAAGGTGGAGTTGCTGCTAGTCATGAAAGTGGGGCTTCTCCCGCAGGGAGCATTCCTCCTCTCCATTCCCTCCGCATACCACACTTGGCTGTAGAACAAGCCCTATGAGGAGCGGCTTAAAGAGCTGGGCATGTTTAGCCTTCAGAAGAGAAGGCTGAGAAGAGACATAATGAGGGCCATGTATAAATATGTGAGGAGAAGTCATAGAGAGAATGGAGCAAGCTTGTTTTCTGCTGCCCTGGAGACTAGGACGCGGAACAACTGCTTCAAACAGGAAAGAAGATTCCACCTGAACATGATGAGGAACAACTTCCTAAATGTGGACCATTCCATAGAGCCCTATATCCCAGAATATTAAGGCAGAAAAGTGGACCTAGATAACACAGTTCAAAGCAGATATTGTGGGATTTTCTGCCTTGATATTTTGGGATACACGGCTCTGTGGAAGGGCTCTGAAAGAGCTGTTCAGCAGTGGAACTCTCTGCCCCTGAGTGTGGTAGAGGATCCCTCTTTGGAGGCTTTTAAACAGAGGCTGGATGGCCATCTGTCGGGGTGCTTTGAATGCGATTTTCCTGCTTCTTGGCAGGGGGTTGGACTGGATGGCCCACGAGGTCTCTTCCAACTCTATGATTCTAAGGGAAGCTGGGCTGGGTTGCTGTGAGTTTTCCGGACTGTATGGCCATGTTCCAGAAGCATTTTCCACTTCTATGGCAGGCATCCTCAGAGATTGAGGGGTCTGTTGGAAACAAGGCAAGGGAGGTTTAGCTATCTGTGTCATGTCCAGGGTGAATCTGGGCTCCTTCTCCGTATATCCCTTGGCAACAACTCGACTTGGACGCCGAAAATTCGCCTGGCTTTTTCTTTTCTTTCTGAGAGCAATTCCGGAATGAAGGAGAGACGCGTGTAGCTGGGCCGAGTCCCTTGTGGCGCCTTTGCCTTGCTGGCAGGAACAGCCTTGGGCCAGAGATTTGTCCAGATCTCTGGGTTCAGTTTCCCAAAGGGACGGAGTGGCCAGGAAGCCTCCGACTTCAAAGCGGCGCCTCCTCTGAGTCACCCAGATCCCTTCTGGCGCTGCTTCTGCCGCTCCCTCTGCTTCCCTTACATCAAGTCAGCCAGCCAGGGGGTCTCATCCGACCAAAGTTCGTCTCAGCGAATCCCACTAAAGTCAACAAAAAAGTAGTATTAAACAGAGGGGAGTTTCTTTTTGAAATGCCTCTCCTCCCAAAGCTAATAGGGGAATACCTTTATTAGGTCAAACCAAATGGGGAAATGTGTGCAAACTGTCAAGATCTTCCTTGGGAAAGATGGTACAAAAAGCAGGTAAGAAGGCAGGAGCAGGGTGCGAATAGCTGGCTGGATCTTGACCTCGCATTGCCTGCAAATACCCTTGGATGATGGGCGGGAGGAGGCTTCTAACACTATTGCAGTAAGGCCACATCAAGGTGATTGTGGTCTGAGGTTTAGCAACAAAGAAAGTTGCCTTATACTAACTGAGCTTGAGAGAGGACATGGCTGCACTCTTGAAGGGCTGATATAATAGAGAAATGGGTGCAGGCTTGTCCTCTGCTGCCCCAGAGAGAGGAGAATTAGATGTAATGGTTTTAAGTTACAGTTATTAAATTATATAATAATAATAATAATAATCATCATCATCATCATCATCATCATCATCATCATCATCATCATCATCATCATCGAACTGCAAAGACTCTGGCACAAGCCAGTCAAGGTGGTCCCAGTGGTGATCGGCACACTGGGTGCAGTGCCTAAAGACCTTGGCCTGCACTTAAACACAATGGGCGCTGACAAAATTGCCATCTGCCAGCTGCAAATGGCCACCTTATTGGCATCTGCATGCATTATTCGCCGATACATCACACAGTCCTGGACACTTGAGAAGTGTCCATCGTGTGATCCAATACAACAGCCAGCAGAGTGACCTTGTTTGCTGTGGACTCATCTTGTTGTGTTTCAAATAATAATAATAATAATAATAATAATAATAATAATAATAATGATAATGATAATGATAATAACCATAAAATGCAATCAGCCTGAAGCCTATAAATATCGGAGCATGTGAAAAATGTGGTCAGCAAAGAATATGTGCAAAGGGTCAGAAAATTTCTGAAGAGCAAATTAAATGGTGGAAATAAGATCAAGACTATCAACACCTGGACCATCCACATCATAAGATACACTGCTGGAATTGTGAACTAGATGCAAGCAGAGCTGGATGATCTGGACAAGAAACAAAAAACTGATGACAATCCACTACTCATTACACCCACGTAGTGATGTCGACAGACTTTACCTGCCCAGAAAATCAGGAGGCAGAGGGCTTCTGCAAGTGAAACAAACAGTAGAAGAAGAGAAACATGCATTGGCAGATTAAGTGAAAGGCAGTCAAGAACCAAGATTGATGGAAGTCAAGAGTAGAAAATGACTCAAAAGCAAAAGGCAAAGAGGGACTACTGTAAAAATACAATCCAGAACAGAAGAGAAAACTGGCAAAAGAAGGCTCTCCATGGACAGTTCCTGGGAAAACTTGAGAGCAAAATTGACAAGGTAAAACATGGCTGTGGCTCACAAGTGGAACTTTGAAAAAGGAGACGGAGAGCCTGATTCTGGCAGCCCAAGAACAAGCCATTAGAACCAATGGCATTAAAGCCAGAATTGAAAAGTCGACGACAGATTCCAAGTGTCCACTCTGCAAGGCAGCAGACGAAAGGATGGTATGCGTTCTTGGCTGCTGCAAGTAGATCGCGCAGACGGACTATAAGCAGAGGCATAATACCTTTGCTCAGATGATCCTTTGGAATTTGTGCCAGAAATAACATTCAGCCTATGACAAAGAACTGGTAGGATCACAAGCCTGAAAAAATTACATAAAATGAACATGTCAATCTACTCCCCAATATTTTTGGATTAGTAATACATCATTGCTGAGACAATCTATTTCCCTACCAGCTACTGTGGGGAATACAGAGCAAGCAGGGGAATTCACTGGTGTCAAATGATATCACAGCCCCTTCTTATGGAAAAGTCCTGGGGGAAAATCCTTTATACTACTGATTCTACCCTATGCTTTAGTTTGCTGCTTCCTGAGTTTTTTGTTTGCCAGAAGTCACGGACACAGGAAAAAGTGTTCAAATGCAATAGGTTGCCTGAAGTGACAACATCCAGTCTCTTGCATCTATGCATGTGGTGAACTGTATGTGAACATCCCAAGTGTGGTCAGGAGAACAAAGAGCAGTTTGAAAACTTTCAAAGGGATACATTATATATATTTTACCCCTTCTCATTTTAATGAGTTTGTTCATATTACTACAGTCCTTCAAAGAATTATGAAAAGAAAGAAGAAATATAAAGTAAAATTCAAAAGATTTATGTTAGGAAAGACCTTGGATATCTATAAAATACATTTCTTCAGGTCTAGTAAAAGTTGCAAATCAGTAATGCAGGAGTTAGAGTTCAAAAAAATCTCTTTTTCGGGAGTCACCTTAAAACAAAACACACAAAAATGTGTGTTTATGGACATGGGATGGTGCTGTCATTCAAGGAGAATTTTTTGATGCAATATGTTTCAATCCTAAAATGGCAATTCAGAATGTTTTTTTTACAGGTTAATCTTATTTGTGTTCATTACAACTATTTGAGATTGCACTAAATTACAAAGAAGCAAATGGGTAATGCCACCTTTTTCTTGGAGAATATGAATAATTATTCTGACCCAAAGGAAGAAATTGATAATACTGCTTTGTCTTAGATTGACTAGTTGTGATGTTTTGCAATGAGCACCCATAAAACTTTCATCACAATGCTATGAACCTTTAATCATAATTCAGTATCCCTAAGGACAGTAGGATTTTTCAAATGCATACATGTTTGCAGCCTTAAATAGTCTATTAACATCAGAGTTATTCTCCAGAAATCTTTGATCTAAAACTCCCATCAGTTCCAGCCCGTATAGCAAATAGTGAAGGATTATGAGAGTTGAACTTCAAAAACATCCAAAGGGACACAGCTGTCCATCCCTGTTATATCCTAGGCATAACGTCTCTATGCTTTTCTATCTTTATCTTTACACTGGAGTTTGGAAAGAATGTTTGTGATGATTCATACTTGGATTGAAAGATTGATTTAGGGATATGGGTATGTTTAGCTCGGAGAAGAGAATACTAAGAAACTTAGAATGACATGATAATTGTCTTTAAATATATGAGGTGATGCCATGTGAAAGATGAAGCCAGCTGGCTTTTGCTCCTCCAGAGACAGGAAGACACACCAGCAAGTTCAAGTTATAAGAAAATATATTACATGTAAAGGTTAGAAAGAATCTTCTTTTACTGTGAAAGCTGTTTGACAATGGAATAGATTGCCTCAAATGGTGGTGAACTCTCCATCTTTGGGGGATTTTTAAACGAGGTTGGGTGGTCATCTTTCAGGACTTCTTTAGTTGTCTGTTACTGCATGACAGGCAACTGGACAAGATGGCACTTGTGTTCCCTTTCCTTTCTATGTTTTTATGATCCTAATTACTTATTTGGAAGTCTAAACCAAACACAAAAAAGCATTAAGAGGGCAACCCAAATGGCCTATTGTCTTAAGCACTAGAACTGTCACTATGGAGACATCTAATTCAAAGTTTCTCAACCTGGGGGTCAGGACCCCTGAGGGGGTCATGAGAGGGGTTTCCAGAAGGGTTGCCAAAGACCATCCGAAAATACATATGTGTAGGTGAACTATAAATCCCAGCAACTACAACTCTCAAATGTCAA